AAAAGTCGAACCATCAACAAAACAAAACAATTAGTAAAAGAATGGACAGATATCACAATCTGATATTTTGGAGCTGAATGTTGAGTCCAGAAGGCTGTAAGGTGTATAATCATAGAATCCCTACAGTGTGGAGGCAAGCTATTCAGCCCATCAAGTCCACACTGACCATTCAAACAGCATTCCACCTATGACTACCAACCCCTACCCTAACCCTGTAACCTTGCATTTCCCATCACTAATCCACATAGCCTGTATGTTCTTGGACACCATGGGCAATTTAGCATGGCCAGTCCACCTAACCTGCAGGTCTCTTGACTGCAGGAGGAAACTGGAGCATCAGGAGGAAACTCAAGCAGACATGGGGACAACGTGCAAACTCTACACAGACAGTCACTCAAGAGTGGAATTGACCCCAGGTCCCTGGCACTGTGAGGCAGCAGTGCTAACCACTAAGCAACCGTGCTATCCTCGGAAAGGAAAGATAAGGTGTTGTTCCTTGAGATTATGTCGAGTGTGACTAGCACAGTGAAGATGACCAAAGTCAGAGAGGAAATAGCTGCAACTTACTATTACAGCAACAAATCGGATAAGACTTTTTAACCTAAGAATGCTAGAAGCAAGGAAGGTAAGGTTTGAAAGCATGGAGTACTTGGAGACAGTTAAAAGACTGATGGTGGATTTCTGAAGAGATTTGATAATAGGAATTGTAATTGGAATAATTCAACTGAAAAGATAAAGAAAATTACTAAATTCAGAGGTTATGATGATTATGCAATGAACAGCGTCCTCTTAAATGTAATTTATCCATTATTTTCCTCAACTGTTTAAAATGTTATGAGCTAGGCACAGATGCATTATATTGTACTTTTCATATTTTGATTGCTCCAAAGTATTTTGCGACAAAAATGAGATTGGTCCTTGGAGCAGCTTCTGCAGAGTCTTGTGGCCTGGGATTCCAGTGGCCCAGAGTGAACGGCCTGCTTCAGCAGCAGCGTCCAGCCCAATATTTCAGCAGCCGGTGTCGTAGTGGTACTGTCTTTCCCAAACCCAGAGCCAGGAATTGAACTAAGATGGACTTTGTCTTTTTTTTTTCTTACCTATGCCTTCTGTTATTATTACAGGCACCACGGTATGGTGACTTGAACACTTTTCACTTTTTTTGTGTAAAAGTTACAATTGCCAATAAATAACTACTCTGTTCCAAGTACTTCTAAAGTACAATCACGCTAGTAATTAGAACTACAGCAGTCAGTTTGTGCACTGCAATGAACCACAAAGTGCACTGAACTTAATGACCAGATAATCTGTTTTTATTGATGTTTACCAGAACACTGGGAGATTTCCCTTCCTCTTCTTTTTGATATTGTCATGGGATCTTTAAGGTTAACACAAGAAGCAAGTGGGACCATGACTTGGTGGCCCATTCGAAACAGAATATCACCAGCAAGGTTTAGAGTGATTGTCTTGCATTGAAGTGTCTATAGGAAAATCGTAGGTTAAATTTGGAGGTAAAGGCTTTACCTTTACCTTTACCTTTACTGGCTCCATCCCCGCCTCTTTGACCTGTCTGTCTCCTCTCCACCTATCTTCTCCTCTGTCCATCTTCTATCCGCCTCCCCCTCTCTCCCTATTTATTTCGGAACCCCCTTCCCCTCCCCCATTTCTGATGAAGGGTCTAGGCCCGAAACGTCAGCCTTCCTGCTCCTGTGATGCTGCTTGGCCTGCTGTGTTCATCCAGCTCTACACCTTGTTATCTCGTTGCAAATAGTTAACAGGGTTAGCAGTATCTGTGAAGAGAGTAACAAAATGTGACTTCTTCATAACTTATGGGAGATAGAAACGTGATGGGGGTTCCATGCTGTTGAAACGGGAGGTCTGAGGTAGAACAGAAGGTGATTAAAACTAAAAACAAGATATTCAAAGGGTGCAGTAATGGTCATGGTTTAAAAAAACCCAAAAACTGCAGCTGCTGGGAATCTGAAACCAAAACATCTTGCATGTCCTTTACCCACCCCAAAATCCCAGGCCTCATCAGCATATTGGCTGCTTTCAGCAAAGTCAAGCCATTTTCACCTCATAACGGTCTCCATTATCAGCTTTTCTCCTTCCTTGACTTACCATTACACATAAAAACCAAAACAACTGTGGATGCTGCAAATTGGAAACAAAAACAGAAATTGCTGGAAGCGCTCAGCAGGTCGAGCAGCATCTGTGAAGAGATGAGGAAGGGCCACCCCAGACCCGAAATGCTAACTTTGATTTCTCTTCACAGGTGCTGCCAGACCTGTTGAGCTCTTCTAGCAACTTCTGTTTTTGTTACTATTATCCATCCCTTTGTTTGCCAGATGTCTTTCTCTCCCTCTGGGCTCATCTCTACCTATTTTTTCATTCCTTTACCAAGCCCCCTCAACGAACGTACTACCTTGTTCTAGCTACTACTTGTTCTGAAGAAGAACCAACAAACCCAAAACCTTGACTCTGCTTTCCAAAGATGTTGCCAGACCTGCTGAGATTCCCCGGCATTTCTGTTTTTGTTAGAGAAATAAAACATCAATTAAGAGTGAGTGTTTTGGGAGAATAATGAACAGCGCTGTCTGAAAGTGAAAGCACAAAAACAAGACACAGACTAGAATTCAGTCATGGGGATGCATGCATTGCTGACTGGACCAGCATTTATTGCCCATCTCTCATTGCTGTTGAGAAGTTGATGGTGTGATGTCCTCTTCAACTGGGATTGTACTTCAATCTTAAAACATGCTGGAATCTGAAATAAACTCCAAAGAGGTTGGTATCCCAACTGCCAAGTTACCCTTTATTTACACATGAATAGCCCTTGACCATAGTACTGTCTCATACAGAGTCAGGCACCAGAGTGTCAGTATCTCTCACACTCACCTTTTATAGGGTGGCACAGTGGCTAGCATTGCTGCCTCACAGCGCCAGAGACCTAGCTCGATTCCATCCTCGGGTGACTGTCTGTATGAGTTTCTTCCCACAGTCCAAAGATTTGCAGGTTAGATAGATTGGTTATGCCAAACTACCCATAGTGTCCAGTAATGTGTAGGTTAGGTGGATTAGCCATGAGAAATGCAAGGTTACAGCGGTAGGTTGGGTCTGGGTGGGATGCTCTGCAGAGGGTAGGTGTGGACTTGATGGGTTGAATGGCCTGTTCCCACACTGGAATAATTCTATGATTCTATTATATGTTAGTAGGGTTCCCTAATTGAACCAGATTAACTGCCCCAAATCAGGAAATTCATATTCTGAGATCCAGTTGGCTGACCTCGTTACAATCAATACACAGTGTACTTAGACAGCCAAGGTATTCCTGTCTGAACCCCTAAGTGACACTATCCTGTCACACATGAAAAATCATGGCAGCTACAGAGAAAAGATGAAGTGTGTGAACTACATTTACTATCAACAGCCAAAGGAAATCTCATCACATGGCTGCTGAACCCAACATTAGTATCATAGAATCCCTACAGTATGGAAACAGGCCATTTGGCCCAACAAGTCCACACCGCCCCTCTGAAGAGCATCTCACCCTGACGCATTCTCCCATCCCTGCATTTCCCCATGTATAACCCACCTAACCTAAAAATCCCTGGACACGACAGGCAATTTAGCATGGCCAGTCCACCAACCCAACATATGTTTGGATTTTGGGAGGAAGCCAGAGCACCTGGAGGAAACCCACGCAGATAGGGGGAAAATGTGCAAACTCCACCCAGATAGTCACCCGAGGGTGGAATCGAACCTGGGTCCCTAGCACTGTGCAGCAGCAGAGCTAACACTGAGCCACCATGCCGCCCAGCACCATGCTGTTGTCACCAGAGGCAAGATGTTGCCCATTATGTCAAAAATGGAGCATAAAACAAAGCAAACAGCATCTGTCAAATGTACAATGCCCTAAGCAATATGGTGCACTCCAAGGCAGGCCAGGTTATTTGCAAGTAGGCGTTGGGGACAGTAGGGTCAGGGAAGATGAAAGTAAAAAGCACGAAGGACAGTGCACAGTAAAGGTAGCTACCTAAAATTCAAACCAAGCAGCCATGAGTCTGTGGGAGTGAATACAGTATGAAGGGGATCACATTCAATTAAAGTCACAGGCATCATACATGGGCAAAATAAGGTGCCTCTCCTCTATCCAAATTTCTCCTCTAAGAACTGCGATCTCATTCCATGACATCTGTGATGACCCCAACTCAAAATTTAGGTGGACTATCGCTGTCTATTAAGTATAGGAAATAGTGGCCCAGCTATAAATAAACCTTGGTTCATTTCACACCAATTTTGTTGTTTTTTTCATATCCAGTCTTGTTTGGATATTTGGATATATTCATTAAAATGATTAACGTAGCATTACCAATTCTATTGAGTACGTTAACTACTATTGCGTATTTATTTATTTATTTCCACCAATTCTCCAATAGTTAGGTGTGAAAATGCATATTACTAAATGTACAGCCCCGATGGGGCATTAAGACTCTGAGAGCAGCATGAATTGGAAGAGAGCTCGATGTAAATTCACTGCTTTGCGTCAGGAAAACATCAAGTAGTCTGGAGATACACAACAGGTGTCCCTCTACCAAAACCTGCCACACTCCTACAAGAGAGGTTGGTTAACTTCAGCAAAAAGACACACATTACCAGATTCCACCTTTAGAAGGTGGATTAGCCCCACGGCACTTGTTTACAGGATATTAAATTCCTGTAAAATAAAAGATGCACTTGTAGGCCATACCCTTCTGTAATAGTTGTGTTGAGAATGTTATATCACACTGTTATATCAGTGTGAAAAAGTTCATAAGCTTTTTAAAAAAGTACTTGACAAAATACAATAACTTATAAAAAAAACTTTAAAAATAACTTTGCAGTTCATCTTCTAATCGATTAGCTTCATTTGAATTAAATACAATTCCAGCATCAATACCCGCTTAGCTGAATACCACTTTTACAAAACATACAATAGGACAAATTATACATGTACCACTAACCTGACCAAGTCAGTCATACAGGATCCCACAACCACTACATCATAAACCACAGTATCAGAAGAATGATTAGCTGGGAATGACATATTTCAGAACTTTTTTTCCAAAAAAAAATTACAACAGCAACAACCAAACAGTGTAATGCACAGCAATAACAATCAGCTCCAGCAACTTCGGGGTTAAAAGTCCTCAGCAGGCGACCATGGTTTCTGGAGGACCCCGTCGCATAGCGGGCTGCATTATTTCATTAAACGAGATAAGATAAAAGAAAAGAAAACGAAAAGGAATGGTTAATCAAGGTAAAGTGGTCCTTTTAATAAATAGATATCGTATTATATCAAAAAGTACATTCATATGTATTTTAGAATATACATATTGTATATGGATAATAATTAGGCAGTTGCTCGGACGGCAGCAGTTCCTCGTTGCCGGGTTTGGCTGTTGACTGTTGGAGCCGTTGCTGTTTGAAGAGCGGGAGCGGCTGGCGTGAGGGGCGGGGAGTGACCTAGTCACTGGACGCTCTGTGTTCATGGGACTGGTAGGTCGGTCCTAGGCAGGTACCCTAATCCGGCTTGCTCGTTAGTGTATGTATATTCAATATATCTCCTCGTCATTCATGGTTATTCAGCTGGGCTCATGGAGCCCTTCTGAGGCCCAGTTGCTCACCTTTCTTTTTGCAAAATGTATTTATCATCATTATTATTAATAACAATTCATAGTACACTAAGCTCGTGCTAGCCATCACCTTTTAGAGAAATTTAATTATTTTAAAAGCAAAAAAAATTGCTAGATGAAATGATTTTGTATTTGCATGTGGAGGTGGAAGTTTATGCAAACCCTTTTGTTTACAAATCCCTGCTGTCATTTCCTGTACTTTAAAGGACGAAGACGCTGCATTTACAAACTGCAAACATCCTGGAAACGTTAGGCGTGACATTTTGTCATCACAAGGATTGACGCAGATGGCAAAGATCTGCTAAGCATATGGAAGCTGTGTTTAGGTTTCAGAGTGACCTACAGGGCACAGTTTTCCTGACTGAAACGTAAAAAGATTTTTTTTTAAAAATCACTCTGATATTTGTGGTAATTTTGGTGTACTATTGCAACATTTTAAGTTTAACTGTTCATTTCCAAATCGCCCTCCCCATCCAGTTATTGCTCTGTCAGAAATAATCGAATATCCTTGTAGGTCATCAGCAAACTGTACATGGTGGTCAGTTTGGTTTCGACTCAATGGTGAGGGAGGTTTTCGTGCTGTCAGAAATAATCGAATATTCTTGTAGGTCCACAAAGCAAATAAATAGTTGGTCTGATAGTGCCTGGAAAGAGTAAGGGTATGAATGTTGTGGGTTTTGACTCTTGAATTCGTTGCTGGCAAAATAGCAACACACAAAATTTTAGCTTTTTCAATAATTTAGACATTCAGTGAATGAATGCATATTTAAATCCTATTGCATGTCATTTGTGTTTTGTTGTCATTGGGTGTCCCTCAAATAGAGAATAGCACCTATACTGTGTTGAGAGTTTCTGTCATGAGTTTCTGTCATGAGTTTCTTCATGTTTCTTCATGTGTCTGAAATTGCCAATTCTCAACTCATATATTTGTTGCCTCTGAAATTGTGAGATCTGGAATGGAGAATTTGCTTCTTTCCCTTTCTTGCACTGTTGCTGTTCTGCCTCAACATTGTAATGTGACTTAGCATGATGGGCAATTTGTTACCATTTTGTATGATTGAGAGCAGCGCTACCTGTCATCTTGTCAATGCTATTGTCCTTCATTGAAAGCTTCAGAATGCCTTTCAAGTGTTTTCTTTCTTCACTGAAGCACTGGCCAATTGAGACTTGAGGAGAGGGCATCGTAGACGAGATGATCTTGCAGGGATTCTGCCTATATGCTTGTGGATCTAGCTTCAAGAAGGATACCAGCACGTATACAATGGTCAGTGAGCCTCTCTGAGGCAGTGTGGTAGAGGCATTGTTAGAAGAATTTCTCTACCACTCCTCCGTGTCATTGATACACAATCCAGGTGTCATTTTTGTGTAGAAGCAAGGTGACTAAGACTACTCTGAGCTGTGGACTCTTGTTGAATAGAAGAGGTATTTGTTGTCAAATGCTTGTTACCATAGTTTGTAGAAACTGAGCTGAAGAAGATAAGCTGATGTTAAGTCCCCTCTTCTTCTTCTTCCCTCTCCCCCCTTCGCTAGTAGGTCTATGTAGGTTAGTATGAATTTTCTTTTGGTAACACTTCAAGATCAGACTAATTTTTTTGTAAACAAAATTTGATTGAGAGTGGCTTGCAAACCTGATGCCAAGTGAGCAATGATGTTGCGTGTGGTCATCAGCAAACTGTGTATGGTGGTCAGTTTGGTTTTAACTCCCAGGGGACCGAGGTTTTCGTGTAGGCAGTATATTTTTTTAATCACTGTGTTCAGATGTGTTGTGACAACACTCCAGGGCAGGTGGGACTTAAACCCAGACCTTCAGGCACAAACCACAGAGCTCGCAGATACATTGTGTCAAACACCTTGGTCAGGTTGATGAATGCAATGAGCATCCTAAGTTGATTGACCGTGCAATCCTCGGCACAGCGACAATCACATACTGTCCAATTGTGCAATCACGTCAAGTTGTGCAAACATATCTATTGTTGAACATTATTTGGATATTTGCAAGCATGAACTGATTGAATGTGGCCATTTCTTTTCCTGTTGTGTAAGCCAAAGGAATATGGTGTTTAATATCATCCGCCAGGCTTTGGGTTGTACAGCCTATATACTTTTGAAAACAGGCAATGTCCCAGTCAATTGTGAACTTCCTAGCTAGTGCCCTACCACTAACTTTCTGTCCAGGGAAATGCCCCCCGAAAGTGACCTCTGACAAGTATTAAGTGCAAAGAACTCTGTTCAGGTAACTTCAAGTACATGACCCTGAATGACCACAATTACTGATGTTTAACGCAATATTTGAAACATTTGATCAATGGGGAAAGTACTTCTAGGATATCCACAGTAATCTCACCTTAACTTTATATATTTAGCTAGAGTTGCTTCGAATAGTCTAAAACCTAGACAATTCTTCCAGTTGATCAAATTTGCATCTTTGGGCACCCTTTTAATTGCAAAATTATAGTTGTCTTTGACTGGAGGCCTGGAACACCTAGTCCTCCAGCCACCTTCCAAGCTCCTTTTTAAATTTGGTTTTTCCTTACTCCTTGGTTGAAATAGCAACATCTTGAAAAATGTCCATATTACAGAGGAAGAGGTGCTGGACATCTGAAACAGATGAATAAATCCCCGCGACCTGATCAGTGTCCCCTAGAACTCTGTGGGAAGCCAGAGAAGTGATTGTTGGGCCCCTTGCCGAGATATTTGTATCAAGGATGGCCACAGATGAGGTGTTGGGAGACTGACAGTTGACTAATGTGGTGCCACTATTAAAGAAAGGTGGTAAGGAAATGCCAGGGAACTATAGACTGGTGAGCCTGACATCGGTGGTGGGCAAGTTGTTGGAGGGAGTCCTGAGGGACAGGATTTACATGTATTGGAAAGGCAAGGATGATTATGAACAAAAACAAAGTTGCTGGAAAAGCTCAGCAGGTCTGGCAGCATCTGTGAGGGAGAAAACAGAGTTAACGTTTCGGGACCAGTGACCCTTCCTCGGAACTGATGGTGGCTGGGAAAACATCAGTTTATATGCAGAAAATAGGGAGGTGGGTAGACGATAGGATAGAACCCAGAGAGAGAGAAAGACTGTTGGACAGACAAAGGAGTTGCTAACGATCAGGCTGGGAGGGTGAATAGTTGCTCATGGGGACTGTTAGTGACTAACAACAGGGTGTGTGTTATGGCAGGCTATGTGGTAACAAAGCCTGGTGTGTGGGGTGGGGGGCTGGGACATGGCAGAGTTTAGGCCCTAAAATTATTGAACTCAATTTGAGTCCAGAGGGCTGTAGGGTCCCCAAGCGGAAAATGAAGTGTTGTTTCTCTAGCTTGCATTGGGCTTCACTGGAACACTGCAGCAAGCCAGAGACAGAGATGTTGGCCAGGGAGCAGGGTGGTGCGTTGAAGTGACAGGCAACAGGTGGTTCAGGGTCTTTTTTGTGAGCAGAACGTAGATGTTCTGCGAAGCAGTCGCCAAGTCTACGCTTTGTTTCCCCAATGTCGAGGACACCACATTGTGAGCAGCGAATGCAGTAGACTAGATTCTGGGAAGTGCAGGTGAAGTGTTGCTTCACGTGGAAGGTATGTTTGGGCCCTTGGATACTGGAGAGGGAGGAGGTGTTGCACCTACACCGGTTACAGGGGAAGGTGCCGTAGGGCTGTGGGGAGGTGTTGGGAGTGAAGGAAGTGTGGACCAGGGTTTCCCGGAGGGAACGCTCCCTGCGGAATGCGGACAAGGGAGGGGAGGGGCATATGTGTCTGGTGGTGGCATCTTGCTGGAGGTGGCGGAAAAAGGACTGATTATGGATAGTCAACATGGCTTTGTGTGTGGGAAATCGTGTTTCACTAACTTGAGTTTTTTGAAGAAGTAACAAAGAGGATTCATGAGGGCAGAATGGTGGGCGTGATCTATATAGACTTCAGTAAGGTGTTTGACAAGGTTCCTAATGGTAGACTGGTTAGCAAGGTTAGATCACTTGGAATACAGGGAGAACTAGCCATTTGGATACACAACTGGCTCGAAAGTAGAAGATAGAAGGTGGTGGTTGAGGATTGCTTTTCAGGCTGGAGGTCTGTGACCAGTGGTGTGCCACAAGGATCAGTGTTGGGTCTGCTGTGTTTCGTCATTTATCTAATTGATTTGGATGTGAGCACAGGAGATATGGTTAGTAAATTTACAGATGACACCAAAATTGGAGGTGTAGTGGACAGTGAAGAAGGTTACCTCAGAGTCCAACGGGACCTTGATCAGATGGGCCAATGGGCCAAGGAGTGGCAGATGGAGTTTAATTTGGATAAATGTGAGGTGTTGAATTTTGGCAAGGCAAATCAGGGCAGGACTTGATTGTAAGGTCCTGGGGAACATTGCTGAACAAAAAGACCTTGGAGTGCAGGTTCATAGATCCTTAAAAGTGGAGTCCCAGGTAGATGGGATAGTGAGGAAAACGTTTGATATTCTTGCCTTTATTGGTCGATGCATTGAGTGTAGGACTTGGGATGTCCTGTTGAGGCTGTAGGATGTTGGTTGAGCCACTTTTAGAATACTGCATGCAATTCTGGTCTCCCTGCTGTAGGAAGATGTTGTGAAACTTGAAAGGATTTACAAGGATCTTGCCAGGGTTGGATGGTTTGAGCTATGGGGAGAACAGGCTGGGGCTATTTTCCCTGGAGCATGGGAGGCTGAGGGATGACCTCATAGAGGATTATAAAATTGTGTGGGGCATGGATAGGGTGAATAGCCAAGGTCTTTTCCCCGAGGTGGAGGAGTCCAAAACCAGAGGGCATAGGTTTAAGGTGAGACAGGAAAAATTTAAAAGGGACCTAATATTTCACACAGAGGGTGGTGCACATATGGAATGAACTCCCAGAAGTGGTGGAAGCTGGTACAGTTAAAACGTTTAAAAGGCATCTGGATGGGTATATGAATAGGAAGGGTTTAGAGAGATATGGACTAAATGCTGGCAAATGGGACTAGATTAATTCAGGATATCTGGTCAGCATGGACGAGTTTTCCATCCTGTATGGCAATATGATTCAATGACTATCTCTAGCACAGTTTTTCAGATTTTCCCTTGCTATAACTTTTGGTTTACTCCAAAAGACCCACATAAAGCTACATCAAACCTTTCAGTACTTGAAGAGATGCCAACTTTAAGACCTTCTTAACAACATATCCCAAAATTTATGAATTATCTTTTTAGAGTCATACATTATGGAAACGGACCCTTCGGTCCAACCGGTCCATGCCGAACATAATCCCAAACTAAAAACCAAAAGAACTGCGGATGCTGTAAATCAGGAACAAAAACAAAGTTGCTGGAAAAGCTCAGCAGGTCTGGCAGCATCTGTGAAGGAGAAAACAGAGTTAATGTTTCGGGTCTGGTGACCCTTCCTCAGAACTGATGGTGGCTGGGAAAATGCCAGTTTATATGTTATAATCCCAAACTAAGCTAGTCCTACCTGCCTACTCCTGGCCCATATCCCTCCATGAATCTATCCAAATGTCTTTTAAATGTTGTCCTTGTACCCGCGTCCACAAATTCCTGAGGAAGTTCAATCCACATGCAAACCACCCACTGTGTAAAAAAAAAAAAAAAAATTGCCTTACGTCTTTTTTAAATCTCTTTCCTCTCACCTTAAAACTGTGTCCCCTAGTCATGAAAACACCATCCTAGGGAAAAGACAATTACTATTAAATCTATCTACACCTCTTGTTATTTTATAAGCTTCTATTAGATTGCCTGTCGATCTCCTGCAATCCAGTGAAAAAAGTCCCAGCCTATCCAGCCTTCCTTTATAACTCAAACCTTCAATATCTAGTAACATTCTGGTAAATCTCTTCTAAACCCTCTCCAACTTGGTAATACTCGTCTTATAACTGGGCATCCAGAACTGCACACAGTATTCCAGAAGAAACTGTAATGCAAGAAATAAATTATAAAACGTGATCTTTTCATCACAAAGTTTATGTGGAGTATAATGTGATAAATTAAGCCTTGCTGATTATACAAATATGCCAATGAGGTGATATTACACCTGGTTTTTTCCAGTTAAGATAGCCTAGGAGCTGTTGATTATTATTAAAAGCTGATTCATAAATGTCAATAGTAAGTTTCCTTCCCTCCGTTAATTGATCTGGCCTGTAAGCCACTCCAGTTGGCACTTTCCTGTGACACTATCATTTCCAATTTTTAAAAAAAGTTATCCTAGTTCTATTATAGATATTCACCTACATCCGATGTATTGTTTTGATTTCAAACAAGCCACTCTTCTCTTGACTGTATGATTTTTATTTTGGCCTAAATGTGAATTCTTTTTTTTTTCATTGAATATTTAGCATTGCAAGCTGCCCTGTTTGTTGCCTTTCACAGTGCCACTGTGGAAGGAATTGAGTCGAAATGTCGCCAGAAGTTGCCTTAAATAGAATTTCCCCTGCACTTCGTCCCTTTATCTCCAGTGTCGTTCGAAATGGAAAAATTGGCTTAGATGCTACAAACAATCTGAAAATAACTGACCTTAAATCTGGGTAAGTGCTGAATGAGTTCTCCAAGTTTAATTCATTTTGTTATTCTGTCGTGTTTGTTTGTGTTTTCACAATGTGACAACTTGTTGTAGCTGCATGTTTTTAACTAATGAACTATTTTAAGAACTTTATATTTACATTTTGTTTGTGCAGTTCAGACCTAAAGGTGGCTACATTTATGTTGAATTCCCAAAGTGGAGAAGTATTTTGTCTCAGTTTTAAGAACAATTGTTGTACTAATGCAGACATTATACTCAGTAACCATAATCCTGTTACTTAGTTTGAATGTAACTATTGTTTTCAAAATTGGAAACAATGTTGCAAGATAGTGGACTTTTACACAGTTGTGCATTTCAGATTCTCTATGGTCTATACCATGTATTGTACCCCGTGTGCATTGTAGCTACTGATAGTTCTGCCCAACAGAATTGGATTTTGTATGTGTAAGTAACTAAATAATTGCAAAAGATATTACAGCATTGCTCGATGTGCAATACTTGCAAGTGCAGCACATCTTGAATTCTTTTAAATACAAGTCTTGCTGCATGCTTTAGCAGAGCATAAGCTGACCTGATGTTAGCTGAAACAAACAGCTTGTCCTAGTGGTAAATTTATACATAGTCAAAGTCTGCAGTACTTTGCAACTTTATTATATCTTTGAGCAAATAAACAAACAAATGTATTAAATCATTATTCCAGGACCTTCTGGTCTCCTGGTCTTAATTCCTTTTCTGGGGAGGAGGAACAATGTGTTTATTCAACTTTTTGCTATTTGTGGCATCTTGCTGAACGCAAGGTGAATATTGTGTTTAGCTACGTAAGGAAAGACTGCTTTTCAATTTTTTTAATTGCTCATGAAGTGATACAAGGTGCTTCTGAGACATACATATAATTTCAGCATATTTTTGAATTTGGAGAAGTTGAGAAAATCAAAGAAACATTGTTTTCCCTCAGCATGATCTGCCTAATATCCTTATATTGGTCTTTCATAATTTCTGAAAAAATTGTACTTTGGCTGGAGAAATTACAGCCTTGGATTTCAATTCCAGCAATTTTTCAGGTAATTGTTATTGTATGGGTGTTGCCAAGCATTACTTTTGTTTCTTCTGTGTTATTGAAATTTGTTTTTGGTTCCTCTTTTCAGGTGTACATCACTAACACCTGGACCCTGTTGTGACAGGTTTAAACTGCATATTCCATATGCTGGAGAAACCCTAAAATGTGAGTTTTGTATTTAGATATATAATGAGATGGTTCATTCATGCAGGTTTTTCAAAACAAAATTGAAGAACATATGGTGCAAACTTTATGTAATTACTAACATTTGTTAATTGTCTAATAATTACTATTACTTATCCTTCTGAACAACTTAACAAAAGTATATTTGCAAGCACATTGCTTCAGAACATTCAGTGAATATTGTGATTGTGGAGAAATATATCGTGAATTTTTTTTTTGCACTACCCAGGAAGCAGGATGGAGAGTTTCCATCAGGGTGCTCTACATATTTGAAGGCAGTTGGTTTGTGATGTATGGTAGTGCCGTGTAACTTTCCATGATTTTTGTTGTGTAGACTTACAGAAATGACAATCTTCAGAATTACAGCCAGTATTCCTTTTCACCCCATTATTATAATCGGTTATAACATGACGGCAAAGAAAATCCAATGGCAGTACTTACTGACTAATTATAGGGGAGATGCCGGAAGTAGGTTCTTCATACAGAGAGTGGTGGGCGTGTGGAATGCGCTGCCGGCAGTGGTAGTAGAGTCTTTAGAGACTTTTAAGCAACTCTTGTATAGGCACGTGGAGGTTAGTAAAATGTCGGGTATGCAGGGTAGATTGATCTTAGTAGGATAATAGGTCAGCACGACATCGTGGGCCGAAGGGCCTGTACCATGCTGTACTGTTCTATGTTCTAATTCCCTGCTCACCAATGGCAATTATCACAGGGTTACTCTTGCATTGGTGGTTATTGTCCAGAATTTCCAAGATTCTGGACAGGTACCAACAGTTTGGAAAACTGCAAATGTAGTATTTTTTTCAAGAAAGGTTGGTTTGTAGGCAACTATTGGCCAATTAACCTAATGTGTCAATAGGAAAATACTATAATCTGGTTTTAAGCAAGTAACAGCAGGAGATTTAGAAAATCGTAATGCGGTCAGGCAAAATGAATATGGTCTTGTGAAATTTGGCAAATTTATTCAATTTCTAAGACTTTAACAAGCAGGGTGCATAAAAGGGAACAAGTGGATATAGTGTATTTGGATTTCCAACAGGTATTACCTCCATTGCCACAAAAGATTACTGCACAAGATAAGAGCACTTGGTGTTGGGGTGATGTATTAGCCTGAATGGAGAATTGACTGCCTAACATGAATGTATAATTTTGAACTTAGTAAATTGTAACAATTGGAATACCACAGTGCTGGAGCCTGAACTGTTCACTATCTATATTAATAAACTTGAATGAAGGGACCAACTCTACTCTAGCTAGATTTGCTGACAATACAAAGGCAGGTTGGAAAGTAAGTTGTAAGGCTGATACAGAGTCTGCAAAGTGCTTATAGACAGATAAATGAATACGCAGCATTTGGCAGATGTAGCATAATATGGGAAAATTAGGTTGTCTACTTTGGAAAGAATTGAAAAACAGGTGTAAACAGAGAGAAACTGCTGCAGTACAGAGGGACCTGTACGTGAATCATAAGATGTTAGCATCAAAGTGTGCTTGTAATTAGGAAGGTGAGTGAAATGTTGACCTTTAAAACAAGGGAGATGGCGAATAAAAGTAGAGAAGTCTTGATAGACTGACCAGGAAAATGGTGAGCCCTCACATTGAGTAATGTTCATAGTTTTGTTCTCCCTGAAGGACGACTCGCATTGGAAACAGGTCAGAGGAGGCTCATTTCCTGGGTTATCTTTTGAGGAAGGTTTGAGCAGATGGGCCCATTCTCATAAGAAAAATGAGAGATGACTTTATCAAAGCAATTAAGATTCTAAGGTGGTTTGACTTGGTGGCTAAGCAGATATTTCCTATCTATATGAAACCCTAGAAATAGGGGTACAGTTTTAAGTAGTCTTCCATTTAACTCACTGAACAGGAAGCATTTCTTCTCTGAGAATCATTAGTATTTGCAATTCCTTTCCACAGAACAATGGAGACAGGGCATTCAATATAATCAAAACTGAGTTAAACAGATTTTTATTCTACAAATAAGTCAAAGATTATGGGAAGCAGACAGGAACGTGGAGTTAAGCCCTCATCAGATCATTGTCAAACATTTAGTGATTCCTTGATAGGGTAATTTAGCAGATGTTAGCAGCAGCGTGGCACAGTGGCTCAGTGGTTAGCACTGCTGCCTCACAGCGCCAGGGACCCGGGTTCGATTCCACCCTCGGGCAACTATCTGTGTGCAGTTTGCACATTCTCCCTGTGTCTGCGTGGGTTTCCTCTGGATGCTCCAGTTTCCTCCCACAGTCCACAGATGTGCAGGTTAGGTGAATTGCCCATGTTAAACTGCCTGTAGTGTCCGGGGTGGTAAGTTAGGTGGATTAGCCATGGGACATGCAGGGTTACAGGGAAAGGGAAGCAGGGTGGGTTTGGGTGGAATGCCCTTCGGAGGGGTGGTGTAGACTTGTTAGGCCAATTGGCCTGTTTCCACACTTTAAGGATTCTATGATGCCATGATTCAGTGGGTGTGCAAAGAACTATGCTAGTAAGTGATTTAGGTCTGTCAGTTGGGCTCACAGTGTGATATGCTCACATGTACTGGAAGCTTCATAAATTCACCATTTTTAAAATTTCCCCACCCCTGGCCTCCTCCCATGTCCAACTGTCCCTCTCATCCCCACCTCCTTGACCTGACACAACCCGTCCATCTTCTCTCCCATTTATCCCCCAACCCGTTCCACTGACCAATCTTCACCACTCCCTACCTGCACTCACCTATCACCATCCCAGCTACCTTCCCAGCCCCACCCCTCCTCTCTATTTATTTCTGAGCTCCCTTCCCCCTCCCCATTTTTGAAGAAGGATCCCAACCCGAAACGTCAACTTTTCTGCTGCTCTAATGCTGCCGGGCCTGCTGTGTTCCTCCAGCTCCACACTGTATTGTCTCTGACTCCAGCATCTGCAGTTCTTGCTTTCATCGTATAGAGCCCTGTTCTTTGCAGACAGAGAGAGCATGTACACAAACTGTGCTTGTTTAAACTTGACAAAATAGTTGACAGCCGTTCTGTGGTTCATTTCTCAGGGCTGTTTCTTAGTAAACCTGCCTGGCTTAAAATTTAAACAAAGCTTCCTGCTTTAAACATACAAAGTCAAACATCCATGTACCTAATTGCCTTTTAATTTGTTTTGTTACCTTAAAAGATTAGTCATTATGAGTTCCCAAGTTTCTTTACTCTTGAACCAAGAGTACTCCTCCCCCAAACAAATAGCATAATATTGGTTATATTGCCTTTTAATGCTGTTCCTTTCAAAATACATCCTTTTACACTTGTCAGCATTCAGTTGCAACTGCCATATATACCACTAGTCTGAAGTTGTTGGTTGGTTTGCCGAGCTGACATGTTTGCATGAAAACCATTCATCTCCCTTCTAGGTGACATCATCAGTGCTGTATAGCCTCCAATGAAGTGCTGTTGTTCTGTCCCACTCTGAATTTAAATGGTCTGGTGAGTCATGGTGGGCAGTCTTGTTCCGGTTTTGTACCGTAGTGATATGTGGATGGGGTTAAATAAGCAAAGTTAGAAGAAACACACCACCTTATTAACAGCATGTTCACCAGGGAAGAAGAGAACAACTTCTATTTCTAGACGTAATGGTGGAACGAACGAACAACAGGGAATTCCTTACCAGCGTACACAGAAAGACTACACACACAGAGCAAATCCTGAATTACAACAGTATCCACCCCAGCGTCCACACACAGAGCTTTATTAAGACTCTGTTTAAACAAGCAATAAATCACTGCAACATCCCAGAGCTGCACACCAAAAGAAGAGGAGCACTCGGACAGAGTGTTTGTAAACAAGGGTTATCCTAACAGCTTTGTCCACCGATGCCTGGCAAACAAACAACAAGAAGATGCTGTGTGCTCCAACATACTGGCCACCCTACCCTATTTTAGAAACACATCAGAACTGACTACAAGACTCCTGTGACCTTTTGGAATAAGGATAGTACACAAACCAACAAGCACACTTCACCAGTTACACTTAAAGACAAAAGACCCCATAACCACAATGAGCAGGACAAATGTGATATAAAATACCATGCAGCAACTGTCAGAAACACTACATGGTACATATGGGCAGGAAACTTGCCACCAGGATACATGAACATCAACTCGCAGCAAAACTCTTTTCTGAAGAAGGGTCTCGACCCGAAACGTCAGCTTGCCTGCTGTGTTCATCCAGCTCTACACCTTGTTGTCTCAGATTCTCCAGCATTGGCAGTTCCTACTATCTCCGACTAATTCTCCCTCGTTTCAATACATTCTGGCACAGAAGGATATCAGTTTGACTGTGACAAAGTCACAGTACTAGGACAAGCGAGACAAAGACCAGCACACAAATTCCTGGAGGCCTGATTTTCAACCACCAGTGCAAGTAACAAATGTTGAAATAGACCCCATCTCCACTGTGGTACAAAACCAGATACAAGACTGCCCACCATGACAGACCGGACCATATAAATTCAAAGCAGGACAGAACAACAGCACTTCAATGGAGGTCGCACAGCACTGACAATGTTACCTAGAAGGGAGCCAAAATATTTGCATAAAAACCAGCCAGCTCAGCGAAACAGCCAGCAACTCCAACCGCAACCCGAGCTACAGATCTTCGTTAAAACATTAATTTCCACTAGTCTGTCTATGTTTTTTCTGAAGTTTGGTATCTTACTCAATGCTTACTGTGTTCCCAACTATTGTTTGCAAACTTAATAATACTCCCTGTACCAAATGCAAATCACTAGGGTGGGAAAGTGCAACTTTTTCTCTCCCAGTATGAAAGAACAAGGGCAAAAGTAAAGTTGCCAAAGTTTTACCACAGCATAGGATTGCTGTCTCATCAGAGAGAGAGACAACTGGTGATTTAATCTGAGGGTCACCATGCCTCAGCCAAGAGGAGAGGTCGAGGAAGAGAATCCATCATGGTAACCTCTGCCTGTGTGTGAATTGTTGACTGGATGGCTGGTTTGTGATACAAAGTAAC